GTGTCCATACTAATTAAGTATTTTAAATAAAAAGAGTAATAAAAGTAATGTAAAAATTTATTCACTAAAATTATATTAGTCATTTGATAGAAATATGTATCTATATTTTAAATGAATCATTTGAATGAAATCATGGGGATATAAAATGCCTCTACAGTTTTTTTCGCGCGCACAACTTCAAAAAATGGCAATTGGATACAACAGACCACAATAGTCTAAAAAAACAATTTTTAATACTCAATATTTAGGCGCCATGGAGTTTACTTCAAAGATTGCTTCCTCCATCAGACATCTTATGACTTAAGTTCGTTAGTGCATTAACGATTTCCTTCGTTTTTCTGTGCCGTGCGCTTTGTTGATTCTTTCAATCTGTTTTAATTTGATTGTCGAAATCAATAGATTTATTTACATTTCATACATTTTACTGTGTTTACTTTCATCACAAAATGAACGCTTTGTTTGTTTTCATATTTCTTTCTTTACTTTAGCTGACTTTGACCTTAGTTTGAATTTCATAAGTATATACTTTTTGTTTATACTTCAATGGACGGGTACTCATATAGATACTGCACGCATCTTGAATTTATTTATACACTTCTATGTAAATCTTTGAATTGCCAAAGGTTAAACATTTCTGATATGCAATAATGTAATTTTTAGCATAAGAATCTGTTATTGACACGGCAATATTCTGAGGACTTTGAAAAATTCATTCAAAACACATCAATGTTGATATCGATATTCTTATAAATAAACCTGCATGTGCTTTGATAATACTTATACAGGGCACCCTAAAACGTTTAGCTAACGAATACTGTACTGAGGGAAATGCTGGGAAATAATTAAGTTGTTCGAATTCATTTCGAATTCTCGTCTTCCTGAGCAGATAATAGCATGCGTACGTGAGATTTTTCTCTCTTTATTTCTTCTTTCGCAGGTATTATTTGAGCCAGGGACCTTAAGAAAGCATTTTTTTAGTACAACGATTGACTGTATTGATTCTTCGCTGTCTCTCATTTTTTGTGCTCTTTACTAAGTTTATGTTATCGAACTTAATTTATTTTTAGGACTTGTCATGGGCTCGTGAATGCAAATGTTAACATTTATTACTGAACAACGCGCTGCTTTAACTAACTGACGAGGCACATATAGCGTTGACTCTCACGAACAAATTTGAACCGACATTTTGTTTTTTTTCTCTCTCACTCTCAATTTTATAAATTTCATTAAAAACAACAACAATTTTCATTTTAAAATGTTCTATTGAAAACAAAAACAATTTTGATTTTGACGAGCCTAAATATAACCATTTACATAACATGACCCTAAGCGTGAAGAGTTAAGTCAAAGTCTATACAAAATCCATGCGAATGTGTTAGAGAAAAGCCTGCACTTAATTTTTAAGGTAAATGATTAAGTAAAACCTGATTCGAAAAATGTGGTTATAATGGACATCAGTTTGGATAAACAACACTAACCAACACTAACTTTTTTAAGCTAAAAATTGTTGGCTAATGCAAAATAATCTCAGGTGTAAACGTGTTATTAGATAATTTTCTAAATTTTGATTTACGATATTGTTTTTCAATTACCTGCGTTCGATAATCGCACGCACGCATTCGAGACTGTTACCTGTTTAGGAAGATAAGAGCGAAAGAAAAAATGTTGCCACACTTTCACTAAAAAAGACTCTCCAGCACAAGCTTTTGTTCTTATGCAAAATAGTGTTAAAACTGTTTTGACTCAAATTAATGACAGAACAGTAATTGCAAGTAAAGGAAGAAGTACAAGTTCTAATAAATAGTGCTTCGCACGCTACGTAATTATCTGTTCAAGAAGAAAGTAGAGAGTGCGGTTTACAAATGAGGGTTCTTGAGTAACCAGCACATTAGTATTTTTCGTGCCCATTAATTTTTCTATACCAAAAACTGAAATCGCTTAGCATCTGTCTATGTGGTCTTTCAACCATTAAAACATAAAAGATAGTGCTTTTTTTTATGATCATTCGAATATTGAAATTTTCGTACAATCATTCAACTATCAATTCGATAAGATGATAATCTGTAATAGAGTTCGTCCTTGTAATCTCGACAGCTCACTTCACTTTATCGAACTTATTGTGTGTTTAAACACCGATGAAATCGAAATTATTATTAAGTAATCTGGATTAACAAAACTTATAAGGTTCAATTGATTATGAATATAAGGAATCACGCTGTAAACAAGTGTATTGACAGCAAAGACCTTGAAATTTTCTCTAGACTAGCGGACATGTAGGGTCTTCATTTCAAATTCATTTGAAATCAAATGATTTTTTATCCATATATATATAATTTTAAAATCCTTTTTCGAATTTTCTAAATATATAAATAGCAGAACTTAAAAGGCTTTGTATGCATAACTTATCGCTTCATTCCAAGTTAGGTATACTCAGTTACATTATTCAAAAATGTCATGTAAATTGTACTGTCCTTTCTTTTATATTGAAATTTTTTAATATAATTAAATTTAGTTAGTAAAGCATAAAATCTAGGTTATATTTTAAATTGAGTGTTGATGTATATAAATTATTTTGAAAGCAGTACTAAGGTGGAAATTTTGTTTCATAATAACCATGATTCATAACTTTCTACTAAAAAAATATTTGATATATTTTTCACTTGACTTGTTTTGTCATTGTATTTTTATACATATATTTTGTCATTGTATGTTAATTCTATTTTTGTATTGATTGTCTTTTTAATTTGTTATTGTTTTTGGATCTACGAAGTTATATCCTACGACAAAAATATTTACATTAAACCATATAACGGAATATAAACTCTGCATAGATTAGTCATGAAAAGTTCCTACACGTGCCGTACATTAACAATTTTATTTCCAAGAAAATCCGATGACACAAACGCAAAAGTTTATTCGCCTAAAACGATGTAATAAAAAATTACTTTTTTATCCTCATTTTATATACCCACACAGTATAATTTAAAATATGAGCAATTTTACATGATTTAAGTTTCGCATCTTTGGTTGGAAACTAAAAAAAATATTCATACGATTTTTTTTTTTAATGACTTACAAATTATTTTTTATGGCATTAAAGTAATTGGACCCATTTGTACCGATGTGTATCATAGAAATCAAAATTTAAGTTATTGTTTAAATAAAGAGTCCGTAAATAAAGTGCTCTTGCTAAATACATACGTGGAGAAAGTGTCAGGAATTAACAACTTAAACATCTTAAATTGCTTATATTTCAATAAAGATTTCAATAAAAATTGGTAGCATTGTGGACATTTTTCACATCATTATTAAGGATCGCCTGGCAGCAATTAAATTAGTACGAGCATATTCACATAACAAAAGTTAACATTAGCATTAAATCACAATTTGAAGTACATATTAGAGTATTCGAAAATATTTTGACTTCTAAGTTTAAAAAAGTTCAATATAAAACTTTTTTAACATATGCTTTTTTCTCTATTAATTTAAGAAGTTTTTTTATTCCTTGTAAAAGGTAATTATCTCTCATGCAAATTAATTTATCCCACGAAGCCTTTGGAACTTATCTTAAATTCTTAAGTGAGCAACGTTGAGTCTGAAAAGCAAATATATCTTAAAGGATCTACAAATTCTCTAATAAAAATATTTAAAATCTAAATTTGTCATAACCTTGTGAATATTTATAGCCGTTTCTTTTATTGTCTTGAATATTTATATTATAATTTCTTTCGGAATATTATAAATCTATAATTGAGACATCCGTCTATTTATGAAGACTTGTTCAGAGTTCAGATATATTCCGCAGCTGTTTGAACATTGAATTTTCCACAATTGGCACATCCCATCAACATTCATTTCCATAGGTATGAGTATACTTATAGTTCTATCTAAAATCTGAACATAACACTCTGCTCCTCAACCGATCATTATTTCTTAGACTTTATTTACTTAAATGTCGTTTTCGAATTTGGATGTTAAAGGTACTCCCTAGAATGCTTAAGCAATAAATTTGGTTTCCATTAATTAAAATTTCTAAAAATGAAACTTAAAGAGAACCGATTTCATAAGTCTAGTCCGATTTGAGTCTAGTATCACGTGGAACGGACTGCTTTTATTTGAATTTGATTGTTTTTGTCAAAAAAAAACACGTTTTCTACTTAACGTTCTTATGGTATCCAGAAAATATGTTAAAATTCAGTTCTGTTGAAATTAAATAAGTGTTAATGAAATTGCATAAAGCATGCGGTCTGTTGACCAATATGTAGATCAAATTTACTATGCATTTGAAAGCCTGTTTTCTTTGCCTTTTTGTGAACAATAGAACTGTAAAGAAAGTGACTGTAGAAATAGTCCTAAGCGCTCCTTGAAATATAATACTGTATTGTTATGATGACATTTGCTTGCGCAGACATTGGATTAGTTATAATCAGTTATAGTTTATTAATTTTTACCTATTTAAATTTCTACATCTACCATACATTAAATTTAATACAATCCACTATACAGCTAAACGATTTGATTGCTAGTTTAAATAATATTCAATTTTTAATTCTAAAAAATGGTGGGTTTTATAAAAATTATGAGTAGTCGTTAATATTTTAAGCAATTTCATAGAATAATTTGTAATATGTGTATATGAAATTGCTAACGATTTTATTTGCTTCTAGTTGGAAGTTAAAAAGTTAGTAATTAGAAGAGAACTATCACATTTTGCATATATAACTCGCTAAACAACAGCTTATTTTAAAATTTTATTTTGAAAAAGTATTTTTTGATATTTTTCTTATGTTAAAGATTTTGTTTAAAATTAATTTCTATAAAGATATTATTTTTACAAATAAGTATTGTACATAAATATGTGAAAAATGTGATGTCATATTTGTTAATCTTTGTACTAAATTTTTGAAAATGCACTGAATGAACATTGTTTAAGAATATAATTTTTTGTTTTTCTTATTCATTTTGTCTGGTTCTATTTATAATGTATACTCTCTTTACAGATAATCACAAGTGGAGACTTAGTTTGTTTAATATAACTATTTACCATATAAACAAACTTCATGTAAAAGGTGAGCAAATTATCTAACAATAATATAAATTAAAGTAATCTGACATACTTTCACATACCTGACAGAATTAATACTGTGTAATTTTAAAGAATATTAAACAATATATATATATATATATATGAACATTTAATTAAGAGTATTCACGAAATCGCGTACCGAGTAACCAAATTTGGTAACCGAATACATAGTAACAGTGCAAAGCGACAACAACAAAACACGTTTGGAATGCATGTGGTTTGTTGTTGTCACCCTCTACTGTTACTATTTTACACAATTACCGAGCTCGATAATTGACATCGTGAATACCGCTATTAAAAACCATATTGCCTTAGCTTCTTTAGTAGCACAAAATAATATTTACTTGAACTATCAAAATTTCGTCTCTTTGCGTAGTTCAAAGTAGTTCAAAAGTCACGTCAGAAATTGTGGCGAACTGATCAATTTTAAATTTCAATAAAATAACTCTTCACTCACAGTTCATTACTTTTTAAAGTTTTGTACCCTAAATCATTAGCCTGAATTACAATCCTTAATTGTTAAACATAGTCTATTTCTAAATAGTCTAGTATTCCTCTTCTTATGACCTTAAACCAAGAAATGTTATTAGATTTATCACCACCGCCAACCAATTCTGCAGTTTAGCTTAGAAAACTTTCCAGGGATAGGACAGAAGACGTTATAGGCTGCTGTGTATTATTATCCCTTCTAAATGAATTTTTCAATCATATTAGTGTCTAAAAATTAAGAGAACATTATTTGTTGTAGCTTTTGTAAGCATATATCAGATAAACATCTTAAAGATATCTAAGTGATTAAATTCGTGTTAAATGTTGGAGATTAGAGAGTATGCGTAGTGTGCGTAGCTGTAGTGTGAATCATCTTATTGTGATTAACATATTTTGAAAAAATGGCATTAATGTAGATCAGTTATTTAAATAAAAAATTAAAGTTTGAATATAATAAACTTATAAACTTTGTAGTTTAGCAACAATTACAGTTGAAGCTAAGTTTACAGATGCTAGCTGATTATAGTGTCAATATTATGCAATCATCACAAGAGCTTTCTATTTATTGTTGTTCCGAAAATGATGTTCATCCATTAAGTTCATCGTCTATATATAAAAACTATTTTTTTTTTACTTATCGGCAAACTGTAAAAATCAATATCAGGAGTTTATTAATTAATTAAGTGATGTTTTTAAACAAAACAAAACAAAACACAAAAAAAAAACAATTTTAAATAGAGCAATCCTTGTCGTCGAAATGTTGTAGTCAATGTGCAACTCTAGGCATAACTTTCAATAAGAACTACATCTATAAGATACGAGTATGAAGGAAGAAAATAGGTTAGCAAATATGTCAACCAATTTTATATGTCTAACGTATATTTATTTTATACGTCCAGTCAAGATATAAAAATTGTTCTTAATATATTTATACAACATCCAACAAAGTTCGCTTTTTTATACAAACATACAATAAATACATTGAGGAAGTTCAATAGAATATAGAATTCTAGACCGCAGCCAATGCATTCTAAATTGGAAATTGAAATTAGGTTAACTAGTATTTCACTTCAACTGAAACTACTTTTTCGGTTAATGCTGACTGGTTTTATTGAATTGCATGTGCTTCATATTTTACTTTTAAAATGTTCCAGTGTCGAACGGTTAATATAAAAAGCACACATCTGTGAACAAAGTATCTGTACCTGTTCTTTCATTTTTAGCAAGTATTTATCTATCTCGTACCACTTGGCAGTAATGTGCAATGGTACTTTATATCGAATATTGTACATTTAGTTAGAACGGAGAATTTTATTAATGTATGTAGATTTAACTGATACAAAAATAATATTTTGCAACATAACAGCCTTGTCTTAATTACATTTTATTGATAAGTCTATTTATTTAAGTATATATTATATTTTTTATGAGTTTAATTTGGTATTAACTCGACACTTGCATGAATGCTGGCCAGCAAAGTGTTTTCTATCATGCAACACATTTTTGACACACTTAAGATTTTCATATTTTCAGAGTTTTGCTTAAGCAAGACAAAATACTTACTTAACTGTAACAAGTTATTTAATTGGCCGTAAAAATTGTTATAAGTTTGTGAAAAGTGGTGAATTTAATTTAATTTGTAGTTAAAACATAAAGTAAGCATATACAATTTAGATATGAAAATACTGTCATAATTATTGAGGAAAGTAAAATTATATAAACCACAGTTACATTGCAAAGTAAAGGAAAACCAATCGCCTATTTAAGTTTTATAGGAATAGAGGAAAAGCTATTTAGTTACTTGTTTAAATTGATGGACCTACTTACTTATTAAATGTATCAAACTTAATTATGTATACAAATCAATGTATAAATCAATTTAAATCATTTACATTAGAAACAATAAGATTTTCCCTTCTGTTTAGAAAGTAGCGAAGGTTGTAGCAACACCTAAACCAAACAAAAATTCTTCAATTGTCAACTCTTACAGACCGATCAGCTTATTACCCATCTTATCCAAACTATTTGAAAATCTTCTTTTCTCCCGACTGGAACCAATAATACAAGAAAACAACCTATTGCCAAATCACCAATTTGGATTTCGTAAAAAGCATTCTACTATTCAGCAAATTCATCGGGTGGCTAGTAAAATTGCAATGAATATAGACTCTAAGAAGATCACTGTGGGTGTGTTTTTATACGTAGCTAAATCATTCGACAGCGTCTGGCACGTAGGATTGCTTTACAAACTATCAAGAATATTGCCGGTCGATTTTTATTTACTACTGAAGAGCTGCCTTAAAGAAAGATACTTCTTTCTGCAATATCAAAACGACACATCTCACATGACAAAAACAGAAGCCGGTGTCCCTCAAGGGAGTGTATTTGGCCCGATCCTATATCTATTATACACTGCAGACATTTCTAAGCCAAAAAGTGGAGAAATACTAACTGTAACGTTTGCTGACGACACTGGACTTTTATCAAAGAACAATGATATCACTAAAGCAACTGTAAACCTTCAAAATCATCTAAACTCAGTGATGCTTTGGTCTGACCTAGGGGATAAAGATAAACGCCGAAAAAACTGTCCAAGTTATTTTCACCAACAGGAAATTTGAAGAACAGAAACTGAAAATTGCTAACATTGATATACCAATCTACAAGAAACCTATATACTTGGGCATACTATTAGACCAAAAGCTGACTTGCAAGGAGCACATAATACAGAATAATAATGAAGCTTAACGAAGATTTGCAGATCAATATTGGCTTCCTGGTAAAAATTCCAGTTTGTCAATAGATAACAAACTACTAATTTACAAAACTATTATTGTTCTGATTTGGAAATATGAAATTGAAATATGGGGAACCACCTGTAAGACTTATATAAATACTATTCAAAGGCTCCAATCAAAAATCCTGCGAACGATAGTAGATGTTAGATGGTACATCAGAAATGACGATATTCACAAAGACCTGAACATCGACCTGAATTTATTATTATTATTTATGTATTTATCTTTGTATTTATTTATTTATTATTTATTTCTTTATTTATTTATTTTATTTTCTTATTTATTTACTTATATATTTATTTATCTATTTATTTATTTATTTTATTTACTTATTTATTTACTTATGTATTTATTTATAAAATTATTTATGAAATATATTGAAATTTGTATGAAATATATCATTATTATTAACATGTTATCTTAAATGATGATTTAAGATAACTGAAACTTCCAAATTTTCATTTGTTAAAAGTATTACTAGATATCTAAGATAGTTGTAATATCAATGGAATAATAAAAAAAAAAATTTTTTTTGAACCAACCCAACCCCACCCTAACAAACCTTAAGTCCACCTCAGGACGCCCAGGAAGATATGCTGATCTACGGTCCCTCATCAGTTAGAAGATAAATATATGATAATGGTTCTAGATTAGTTAAAGTTTAGTGTGGGGGCAGGAATAAGCCGACCAGCCATGAAATGCGAAATGTTAGCCAAGTCTCATGTGTAATACCAACATTTGCAGCAATGACGAACAGATCGGATTTTTGTCGGCTACCATGCAAATTCCATTCTGTTTAAAATCATAGAAGCGAAAACATCATTTTTTTGCACGCGTGATTAGAAAGCAAAGAATATTTGTAATATACTTGTAATATTCTTTGCTGATCAGTAATCAAAATAATGTTGACAGTGAATGATGTGTAATAACAAGCGACATCGCACCAAATCAACATTCTAGAATGATGTGTAATATCCGCTATAGCCTTTCAAATCGCTCAAAAATGCGAAATAAAACTTCGAGGAAGTTTGGCTGTCTAATTATATAAATGTAAAATTCCTCAGTAAATTAGCCAATACAAAACAAGCTATGGTCTTCTTAATAGTAACATTTTCCAACTGAAGAACATATACCTACATTTTATATATATAGTACTAATACTAAAAAGACCTGTTATACATATCTTTTAACACGTGTATTTCGTTAGCAATAAAAGTTGAAGGGCTTGATGTTTGTTTAATTATTTCGTTATATCAAAAATTACGAGTTCGATATCAATGCGAAAAGTCACTTTAAGTTTGAATGTAATTTATGGTTGTATTATATAAATAATATTTAATTTCCAAAATTGCGTTATATATGTAGATCCCACTTTAGAAATGGAAAATAGATATTTATTTAATCAAAAACCTGTATCTGATACGGCAGCTATATTATATCTAAATTTTTGTCAATATGAATAAAATTTTATTTAATGTTTTTGTATACTGTAGTGATTTGAATTTGATTATTAAAAACGAAAAAAACTTTGTTTGTTCAATTTATATGGTAGCTGTTAGAAATCGTGGTCAGATTTTTCCCAATCCGTTAATGATTAGATTCCGAAAAGTAAAAGTTTCTTTCCAGAAGCTTGAAAACTAAACAAACGGACAAAAACCACTAAGAGAGCTTAGCTCGTCAAGCTGATTAAGAATAT